AAAAAGGACTTTTACATAAAATACTTAATTTTATATTCAGTATATATATTATAATAAAAAATGATAATTTTTTGTTATTTTTTTATACTTAATTAAAACGGTTTATATTTATTTTATCATATCTTCTTCGCCTTTCTTCCAAGTAGTTGAAGTCGGCTACCCACTCTTTGACAACATTTTACAATGGTTGTCAACCTGATGCAACCTCATTTAGTCACCTCTTATGACCGGTTGAGGAACCGTGGAAGTATTTTAATCTCTTTCCGCAGGTGGATTTGTTTTATTATATATTATTATAATAATAAAGAATTATTTTCATTGGTAGGAGTTGTACGTAGTACACAACAGTTGTCTGTTTTTGCCCTTGGGTACCGGGTGGCTACTTGTTGCATCCCGCGGTAAAAATTTCTTCCGAATTGCGGCTGGAGTTTTTTTTTTTGGTGCATACGAATTGCGGCCGAGTTTTTTTTTTTTGGGTTATATACGAATAGCGACCCGAAATTTGAAATTAAATTAATTTAAATATGTAAATTTAAATTTAAAAAATTTCATTTTCCTTCACATTTATTAGATACTGCAGATAGGTTAAAAACGATGTTTTATTTTTATTTAAACATTTTGGCATTGGTAAAAATATATATATATTTTTTAAGGTTTAAAAGTTTTTTTGACATTAAAATCTGATATTAAAATGTTTTGTTTTTATTAAAAAATGTCAGCACTGTTAAAAATGTATATAATATTTATTGAAGTTAAAAATGTTAGTATAATTTAGTAAAATTCTTAGATATTATGGCACTGGTAAAAACATGTATGATGTATAAATTAAAATTTGTCAATTTGATTTTCTTCTAACCGTTTCATAGCATTTCTAATAAATGTTTCTTTTTCAATTATATTTGCTCTGTGAGTATTAAAGTGAGTGCTTCTTAATTTTATATAGGTATCAAAAATATTAGGATAAGCACTGTAGAACAAAGCGTTGAATTTCGAATGAAAAGCCTCACAAAATGTTTTATCAGTCAAGATAAAATTATCTAGAGTTAGAAAACCCGGACTACAACTCGTCTGTACCCAAAATTGCAAAATTCGGGCAGCAATTCGGAATAGACCTTTTTCGTTGATATTTTTGGGATGTTACTAGTATGTAGCCTGAGTACCCTAAAGTTTTAATCCCGGCTCGTGGACAGTATATATTATTATTTACTATAAACAATTGATAGTATTACTCACTTTCGTTTAAGATGTGCTTTTAATTAAGGTATGGTTTTCAAGACTGTTCGTGGTGGCCGATCTTCGTGAATTTTGCATCAACAATGTTTAGATGTAATGGCAATAGGCTGGTTTCTAATGCATGGCAGCGGTTCGCGACTGTACTTGAGTTGCCACGGTCTGTGACTCTACTGCGAAGAGAGCAGTATATCGTGGCAGCCACCTGTAACTACAATTAATTAAATTGTTAATACAATTTTTGTTGGTATTTTATGTAGGAACTGATAGTAGCAAGGCCGTATCTAGAAATTTTTTTCGGGAGGGGTCCAAATCATGTACAGTGAAACCTCTAAATACCGGACACTCTTGGTAGCCATAATTTTGTCCGTTATTTAGAGATGTCCGCTATTCAGAGGGGGGAGGGGTAAATTCTTGAAGATAACTTGAAGAAATTAACAATTACACATGTACATCATTCATTATTTATATTTATACATACAATATTTGTAATAATGATATTTGTATACATTATAAATTATATTATATTTTTTTTCCTATATTTTGTTGTCCTATATGAAAGTAGTGAAAATATCCCCGTTCCCATAAAAACATCCGCTATTTAGAGGTGTCCGTTGGGAGGTTTCACTGTATATTGTAATTTTATTAAATTTAGATTTTGACTTTTGATATTTAGTTAAAAAGAAGACAGAAAAAGATTTATCTTCTTTTATTAAAATTAATATCATATTTTCATATGATATTATGATATAAAATTAAAAACAGTCAATGATTAATTGGAGCGTAAGTCATTTTTGACTGAAAATATTTATGTTGGTATTAAAAATAAATAATTATTTTAAACATTCGTAAAATATTGAAGAAATTTCATGGGGGGAGGGGGATCCAAAAACCTTGGACCCCCTTCAGATACGGCTTTTGATAGTAGTATAGTAATATATGCTTATTAAATCATTATTATTTTAGTTGTAGTATTATTATATTAAACGTATAATTGAAATATTATTATGTCGAAACATATGTATGTATATATGTAGGTATATAGCATGTATGATGATAAAACGTTATTCACATTTTAAATTATAATTCGAAAAATTAATCACCTCGTATATTTATTGTACCCAAAATGTTATTATAAAATTATTTATACAAGAAATGCTATTGATGCAGATGCTACTGTAAATTAGAATAATATATAATGAGCTAGATAATACTTTATTATAATAATATTTATAATATAAATTATAATAGTTTAATATAATATGATGTTTTACACCTTGTCTGAGCGATGGTGATTTTCACATATTATAGATATTAAAGCTCGTCATGGTGATGTCACGTTATATTCTGTGGTTTACATCCCTAGGGGGTTGTTGGTAATTACATTTGGATCAAGAAATTAAGTTTAGGAAACGTTCCATAACTTAATGGATTTTAGCGTTTCAAGTACAAATAATTAAAAACAAGAGGGACTGAAGGGTCAGTTTCGAGTACATTAAAACTAGAGACTATTTAAACACTAAACGTGTTGACAGATTTTACTATAATGGATAAGAAAATGAAAAGTTTGGATATTGTAAACGAAACGCTAATAAATGTTTGATTGGTATTTGAAGGTAAATACAGTAAAACTTAGAATAAAAGTTTAAATTACGTCTTATTGTTCAACAGATTATCATTATTCGCTTAGTATATCTGTATGAATATTTAAAATTTGAATTTATTTCTAAAGTTGAATAATAATTAATAATAAAATAATTATTAGTATTTATACTATACATTAGGAGAGTTTTCATTCATGTCTTCTCTTGGAAAAGGAAGATAGTACTGACCTTGTCGTTCACATTTTAATTTTTTAATAGCTATATTGTTTACAATATATATGAATTAATATATTAAATTATCTCCCTTCTATCCACTTGTGATTGGTACTGATATAATTTTGGAGTAGTTTCAATGGATATTAATTAGTAAAAAAGTATGCACTTTTAATATATTTTATATATCTAATATACAGGGCAATTCAAAAGTCTTCATTCGATTACGAACTGATATAGCTCAGCAATCACTGATTGCAGATTAACCACCTATGTACCAATGGAAAGATAAGATAGTCAAGTTTATTTTTAGTTACTCGCACTGGAAGTTAGTAATTTTCCGGTATCTGAACGGCCAATTCCCTTAACAGTGGATTGGGTGTAAAGGAGACCATGATTTGATGATTCATCCCTGGCCACCACGTTCCCCAGACCTCACAGTGTGTGATTTCTTTTTGTGGGGCTACATAAAAAATACATTTTAGTTACCACCATTACCTACAGACTTGGAAGAGCTCAAAACCAGGATTAAAGATGCTGTTAATGTCGTGACACAAGATATGATCAGCAAAGTTTGGGAGGAATTTGAACATCGCACAGATGACATGTCGGGCGGCTTATAGGGGTTATATTGAAAATTTGTAAGTTGTAACTAAACTAAATAAAACTTGATTATTTTATGAATATTTTTGACTTCATTCCACCCTAATGTCTTTATTTTTAAAATAAATATACACTTGAAATCAGATGAAGACTTTTGAATCGCCATGTATATTGATGTATTACAGGCATGTTTTAAAGGTTATTTCGTAAAATGCTCATACGAGTATATGTTACGGATAATGTACACGAGTAGACTCGAGATATCCATAGACGATTAATAATAATCAACGGATGGGAACACAATAATGAGTAGGTGTTGACTACATAAAAAATAACACCATATAGATAAAATATATTCATATATAGTAAAGAATATTAATAATCAAAGGATGGGCACACAATAATGATTAATATATACATAAATAAACAGCTTATATGTATAAATAAATAAATGCTTAGCCTGGAGTATTATTATATTTATAAGGTACTATATTCCGGCGTTTATTAGTCAGGTCCCGAAGACACTTATTTAGTCTAGTTAGGTCCCAGTGTTTTTCAGGTAGATATCTTAGGCTACGGCTACATTGGAATCGTTTCCGATCCGATCCGATAATGCGACTAGTCGGAAGAAAACCAAACTATGTATAATTTCGGTAGTGGCTATATTTATCCGTTCCGACCGTTTCCGACGTACCGACTAGTCGGATACGTCGGTTTTAAAACAAATTGATTTGTTTTTCATCCGACGAATCGGACAAAATAAAGTTTTTTTTGATTAAAATTGTAATCAAAATACCAAACCTAAAATTGATTACAAACATATTTATTGTTTTTATTGTGTGTGAGTGTGCACAGGTCACGACATGTACCCACATGTGTACTTGTTGTCTTGTCGTGCCTGACATTTGTGATTTGTCAAACTTAAAACAGAAAGAATGGAAAGAGGTCAATGAAATATTGAGAGGTAAGTCAAATATTATTTTATATAATATTAACATATTTATTATATTGAAACATTTGAAACTTAATTATTTTTTTCATCATACCTGTATATAAAAGGAATACAAATTAATAATAGATATTAGATAGTACATATGAAAGTAGTATTATAGTAGTATAAAAATAGTATATATTATTATTATTATTATTATATTACATTATTATTATTATTTATATAATATTATATAATATTTTACAGTGTAAAATATATCATGGACCATGACTAAACTTATTATTTAATTACTTTTTTTTCCATAACAACAAATTTCTTGAAATGAAATTTTTCCAATTGGACTGTTAAAATATGATTTCAATGTATCTCTAAGTTGTTTTGCATCATTTGAATACCTATTAAGACTTTTTCGTGAAATATTTGTAATTTCTTGATTTTTTTTTTTTTTGAAATTCGAAACTTTCCATTGCTTCTTCTATTGCCATCGCGTTAGGGCTTCCATCTAAATCTATTATAATGTTATGCAGTAAAGTTATGGCTTTGGCAATGTTTTCTGCTTTTTCAATTTTAGTTTCGATAGGTTTGTATAATAGTCTCCACTTGGTACACATTATTCCAAACGCACATTCGATACAACGTCTACAACGTGAAAGTCTATAATTAAATATCATTTCTTCATGTGTCAATTGTCGCTTTAAATATGGCTTCAAAATATATTCTTTTAAAGGGTAGGCGTCATCAGCAAGCATTACATATGGCATATCAATTTCGGTATCTTTGATTTTTGTAGGACGAGGTAATGAATTTTTGTACTTATCCAGTATGTCATATAAATCTGAGGCTAAAAACGTACCACTATCACTCTGCTTACCGTAGGCTCCTACATCTACAAATATGAATTTGTAATTCGCATCTGCAACTCCTTGTAATACAATTGAATAATAACCTTTGTAATTGAAAAACATACTGCCAGACTTTTCTGGACACTTTACCCGTAGATGTTTTCCATCCAAACAACCAACAACATGCGGAAAATTCCATAGTACTTCAAATGTTGATGATATTTTTAAATAGTTTTCTTTATTGGGAATCGGCATATGTTTGGTAAAAAGTTGATTCCATATTGCAACACAAACATCTTCAACGATTTTACCAATGGTGTAATGATGTCGCTTAAATAAAAATTCTAAAGCTCGAAATGACATACCAGTTGACAAATATCTGAAATAAGTATTATAATTATATAATAATAATAATAATACATATTACATATAATATTATTATAATACATATTTTATACTAAATAATCGTACCTAGTTTGAGGGTCAGAAGACAGAAGTCAAAAGTCCCAGTAGTTTTCCAAATGTCATGTACATGCTTAAATTTTCAAAATACTTATACTTTTTTTGAGCTATTTATAGATAATTTAAATTTTAGATTTTCTTTATTAAGTTGTACTTAGTTCGGTTAAAAAAAAAAAAAAAATTGTAAGTCACAATTTCTATTTATATACTTTTATGACACCCACTTGCCCACCTTTTTTATTATTACAATAATATTGATTGATAATTTTCGAGATTTTCACAAATGTCAAAATTCGAACTTTAAATGCTTATAAAAAAAATCGTGCCTATGTATTTTTAAAATTTTTCATTTGATTTTGTAACAATATATAAGAAACCTTGTATTAAATTTTCAGATTTTTTGGCCCACCAAATAAAATTTAATTGACAATTATAAAAAAAAAAACTAAAAAAATTGAAAACTGAAAATGTCTGTAAACAGCTCAAAACAAATCAAAATATTTTCAAAATTATTATGGTGTATAGGAAATAAGAATATAAACATTTAATGAAATTTTTATGCATCTAAAATTATTCATTTTTAAATTACAACCAAATAAGAAAAACGCTAAATGAGAAATCGAGTAAATATCTAATGTTCTAAAATTATGAATTTAAAACGCTCATAAAAATTTATTTTTACTTGCTTATAAATATTTAATTTTTGATAAAAGTAGAAAAACTTATGTTAAATCTTGTTTTACATTTTAAAATCTTTGATTTAAAAAGAAAAATTTTTATGAATTTCTAACTAAATAATTTGAAAATTTTCGTCATTCTTACGTATTTTGTCAACATTTTAACTTTCAAGGCTTAGAAAAAAAATTGTGACTACAGATTTTTAATATTTTTCATTTACCTTTAAAACAATATATTAGGCCTTCTAATAAATTTTCAAGAATTTTTAACCAATAAATAATATTTTATTGATATTTATAGAAAAATAACTAAAAAGATTGGAAATTGAAAATGTCTGTAAACAGCTCAAAATAAGTCAAAATATTTTGAAAACGGTATGGTGTATAGAATTTGCTCATATAAACATTCAGTCAAAATATTATTATTATTAAATAATAAAATTATTAATATCGTAAAAAAATTGTATTTTGCGCAGATAACGAGGCAAAAGAGAAATGGGAAAACACTAGAGACATTTTTAGAAGAGAATTCAATAAGTCGATAAAATCATCGGGTCAAGGTACGGATGAGGCTTATAAGAGTAAGTGGCCGTATTATGAACGAATGTTGTTTATAAAAGATGTGATGATGCCAAGAAAGACCTCATAAAATATTCAAAAAAATATAAAGTTGATAGAAAACCATGATGATAGTGAAAATTCCGATGACCAAATTGAATCACTACCAGAAACACTTGAAAATTTAGATATTCCAAAACCAATCACTCCTATTTCAAATAAACGTAAAACATTTCAAGAAGAAGCTTTGGAGGTAGAAAAAAAAACTTTTTGAAGCTCGTTTAGAAACACGTATTCAGAAAAATTTAAATAAAAATAACGAAACTGATGGTGACTATCATTTTTTGATGAGTATTTTGCCCATGTTTAAAAAGTTGACAAAATAGATGCTAAAATGGAAATTTACGGTACATTAAAAAAATATATTAATACAAGTTCACAATCTCAAATCAATTCAAATAATTATTGCTCTACTTCTTCGTCATCGTATTATCAATCGCCTTCACCAGCTTCTTTAGAGTGGATGGCATCAGACTCAAGAACAAGCAGCATCAATTATACTGATATGGACACAATGCAAAAACAATAATTTCAAAATAATTAATTTTTAGTTTTTAAGTTATTTTTTTTTTTAATTTTGATTTTGAATTATTTTAGAATAATTAATTTTTTTTTAAAGAACAGATGTTATTATTATTATTTTTTTTTTTTTTTGGTTTTGAGTTATTTCAAAAGGAGTAAAAATTTGTTTTTTAAAAATTAACAGATGTTATTTTTTTATTTAAATAATAAATTTAAGAGTTTTAATGTTGAAATTTGTACTTACCTTATTGTTATTGCAAGTTTTTCATCTGGTTGAATACACTCACGAAAATTACTATATTTTTTTATATCATTTGAAATATTATCCAATATGTAATCATACGTATGTATGTTCATTCGAAAATATTCTTTAAATTTTTCCGGGTATTCTCGAAGTTTAATACATGTTTGAAAATATTCTCCATTTTTATAATCTGTCAATAAATCGTGCACCCAGCAAGACCTTGGACTATTTAAGTACAAATTATAACTACTATCCAATAAATCATTCCATTCGTCTTCTGAGCCTGAACTGCTGGAACTTGAAAACATATTGTCTAAAAATTTTAAGTTGAAACAGCACCAAAACACGTGTTAACTGTAAGAGAAGGTAAGCGCAAATAAAATAAAAGTTGCAGCAGATGACCTGATGAAAATATAATATTTGATTTTAGTCGGTACAAAATCGGATATGATGTAGCCACAAATATCGGATGGGTAGGTTGTTGGTCGGATCGGATCGGATCGGAAACGATTCCAATGTAGCCGTAGCCTTAGGGTTTTTACACTCGGACCGAACTCGTATGTTATTGTTTTTATAATCAAACCCAATTAGTTGTTTATCTTTATCATAAATATTATCTGGGACTCAACACTTTAAACCCAAAGATTTTATGAACTTTGTATATACCCAATGATTTATTAGAATTCTTTATTAGAAACTGTTAAAAAAAAAGTACTTAACGAATATAAAATACCCCAGACTAAACATTTATTTATTTATTTTAATATTAATTTATGAATACTAATTATTTAATATTTTTTAATTTTAATCATTTAATTAATTTTTGTAGACTACATCCTGGTTTGTCAACAAAGTCAAAATTCCTTATAATGACATTATAAATAAATTATAGACCACATCCGGAGTTTGACATGGGTAGACGGATAACAGTACTAGAATTTGATAAGTGTTTACACGCGATCGGAGTATATAAGGAAATCCCAAAACATCAAATTCAGATATATTTTATTCCAATCATTTTATGCATCTTCACGCCAATTTGCTCAATAAATTAATCTATGTTCATAGATTAATTACCAAGTCCATACTTGGAATATTTTTAATAAATAAATAATTGTTTGGATTTAAAATAATTTCATAGTTAAAAGTTTTTATTCAAGTTGTGGGTATTTATTCATAATTAAATAATTTAATCATTGACCAGGAAGACGCTTGACTGACAAAACGCAACAAAAGTACAATTATATTTCGAAGTGATGTGAGTTTTGTCATAGCTGCTCAAAATAAATTGAACCGATATTACAAATTGAATGTTGTATTGCGCTTTTAAATTTGATAAAATCTATCTGGTGGTGATATATCAAACAGAGCCGGAACAAGAGGCGATTGAGATATTTGCTTCAAGTGCCAATGCAATAGAGGCGCTAAAACTTGACAAATTGTTAAGTCTAATTGGACAATTAAGTTATGTTTAAATTATTAATAAAAATACCCTTTATGGGTAATAAGTTAAAAATAATAATTACAAATTAAATTGTGGCAATAGTCTTAAAAATAAGACTTCTTTTTTTTTATGAGTGTGCCGATTATATGTCTAGTATATTTATCAAGTTTTTTTTTGCAAAGGGATTCCTATTAGGACACTTGTCCACTTATAACTCAAAACAATAGAGAAGCGACACTTGATCAGCTGATCGGATTACTGTATCCCTATTATCTCATAGACCTATTAACTAATAGTTAATTAGTTAATAGACTTATGTATATTATCTTTCTGCCCTTACTTTTCCACCACTGCTTGTTTCATTTTTAAATGTCATACTTTTATTTGGTAGAACTCGAAAGAGATGTCCAGTCTTGTCGACATTGAATATGTCTTGCTCTTTATATTAATTGATTATGTTTAGTAATTTTTTCTTTCAGTCATCAATAGCTATTCTATCAATATAATACATTCAACTATACGTTAACAGTGTAGTAGATATCCTATAGTATATTTCATCTATAATAACTTTATTAATAGTAAATACTACGTAATATACTTACGCCACTGTTAATGTAGAAAAAATATGTTATACGTTCTAAATGGAAATCATCATTATATACTGCGGTGGTGATAGTTGATACAATTAGATGAACTGAAATGCTTTAGGTTGGACATATTTACCGATGTGATCATTACAGTGTAAAGAACCTATTATTTCGTTTCTTGTATATTTTTAAACTATAGACAATAGTAGTATATTCGTGTGTAGTAAATATGTTACGGTTAAAGTCCGAAACATGGCTAAAGTGCACACTATTTGAATGATGTGCACATACGAGTCCATAAAAGTTGGATAATGTAAACACTTAACATATAAAATCATAATTTAGTATATTAACCATTGATTAATGGATGAAGTAACTTGGTAGAAAAAATGTACAAAACCTGGTATTACAAAATTATATTTTTAACGGCACTAAATGTAAGATTTGAAATTACTTAAGTGTTGATTAACTGACTGAAATTACTAAATTGTAGTTGTACAAAGATAATATGGAATCTATCACTACCATACATATACATATACAAATACATATACAAACAGTATACTTAACGATCGTAGAATTATTTAAATGTGATTTATATTAATATAATTTTATTATAAAACTGTTACACTATTAATTTCAAATTTGACTTCCTTATACTTTCTTCTAAGTATAAGGTATATTTTAGTAAACATTTTCTCTTACTTTTCATCAATTATGTATTAAATTACAGATGCGAGGGCTATAAAAATTCAAAATAATTTTGGTTTATATTAATTTAAAAATTCAATGGTTGAAAAAAGAAAATATAATTAAAATTTAAACAAAAAAAAAAAACAAAAATATAGTAGATTACAACATATACTATAGATCAGGGATGGCCAAACTGCGGCACGCATGCCATTTGTGGCACATTTGTTGTTAATGAATGGCACACTAGAGTCAGATAAAATAATATATAATTTTTAAAAATAAATATTGTTAAATTAGATTATATTATCGCAGTGGAATTTTCCGATTATTATTCCGATATGAGAATTGTTATGCCATTAACGAGTCTGGTGAACTATTATTATTTTGTGAAGTAAGATGGCTTGCAAAAGGAAAAGCATTAGAAAGATTTTGGAGTCTAAAAGACAAAGTTATTGAATTTTTAGAAAAAAATAATGAATTGTCTGATGAATGTGAACTACTGAGAGATAAAAATTGGTTAATTAACCTTGCATTTTTAACTGATATTCTCGGACATTTAAATATTCTTAATAAACAACTCCAAGGTGAAGGAAATTTATTTCCAGCCCATGTAGGTTCTATAAATTCTTTCATGTCTCGACTTCGACTTTTCAAAAGTAATTTAGGAATGGGAAATTTAGATCACTTTGTACGGTTAAAATCTATTTATCTACCAACAGATATTCCATTAACGATTTTTAAAAATCATATTTCATCACTATATGATAATTTTCAAGAAAGATTCAGTAAATTTAAAAAGAAGAAGATTTAAATAATTTATTTATTAATCCATTTATCATAGCGACACACGATCTCCAAAAATATAATCCCAATATGCAATTGGAAATGATTGAACTTCAAAGTTCAACAGTTTTAAAATGGAAATATAAAGAGTCATCTGAGATTATAGAATTTTGGAAATGCCTACCCGAAGAAGATTTTCCAGAATTATACAATGTAGCGGTGAAATTAGTTTGCAGATTTGGCTCTACATATATATGTGAAAAAAATTTTCATGGATGACTTTCATTAAAAATAAGTATAGAACCAAACTAACAAATTCTCATTTGAAAAATTTAATGCTTCTATCTTCAACTAAACTTAAACCAAATTATGAAGAGATAATATCCATAAAGCAAATTCAACATTCTATCATTAAAAAAAACATTGCAATTAAACTGTAATAAAAATAGTACCTATGAAAAAAATCTAAAATTTATATTTATGTAAACATTGTAAACTGTAAATAAATAAGTATTTTTTAAGGCACATTCTCAATTTTGTAAACATTATTTGGCACAATATAAAAAAAGGTTGGCCACCCCTGGTCTATACTAATAATAAAGTATGAAGTGTAAAAATTGGCTGTAAAGAATTACATATAACATATTCAATAAATACTGGAATCTGGGATTTCATGTTCATAGAGTAGATTTTATTAGATTATCAGCATAGGTGCAACTAGGGAGTAGGGTGGATCAGCCTTCCCCCGGACCAAGATTTAGTCCCCCCATAAATATTCCATTCGTACATGGCATATCGCATACAGCATAACTCACAATAGTGTCACGTACAAAAAAGATACATTACAGTAAATCCAATTTGGCTCAGAATCTAAAATATATTAGCATGGTATAGTAGGAGTAATCTACAGGTTATTTTAAGTTTTGGTAGGAGGGTCGTAGCTCCCCCCTCAACTAAAACGGATGAATACCTACTGTTTACCATGATTTTACAAGAATTTTGTTGATGATAATACTAATAACTAGTCATATTATCCAGATCTCGACGAAACTTTATCTGATTATGATGACTATGTTGTTTATTTTATACTGATATTTTTTTTTATTATACTTAGATGTATTTTATTTGATTAAAGTCTAAAATTTACAAATATATAATTTTTTATTTTGATATATTATAATATTTGCTATAATTTTTTATTTATTATTATTATAAAGTAAGTTCTGTTAAAAAATGAATCGTTCTTTGTTTTCTTATATCACATAGAAGATAGAAATACTTAAATGTATTAATAATGCTATGAATAAAACTAAATATTAATAGTAAAAATAAAATAAATATATGTATTTAGGTACATCACATAAAAATTGAATAAGTATCTATATGTGATATCAATAAAAAAGACTATTAATTAATAAAATAATTAAAAATAAAATTAAAATTAAAAACGTATAAATGGTTAATATTCATAAATTAATATATTAATAAATAAATGAAAGCTTGGTTTGGAGTATTATTATATTTATAAAGTACAATTAGTTTCGGATTAAAAATTTATCATCAGGTGTATACAGAATTAATAAAATTGTAGCTGATTATGAAAAAATAAAATCCAAATTGAATATAAAAAAATTAAGGATGGAATATGTGGAAAAAAATTATTCGCTTTACATAGAGATAATTTATTTTAATAGGAAAGATTATTTAAAATAAGTTCTTATTATATATAGATATATAAATACTTTAGTTATTATTAATTATTATTACCTAAAATGTATTGATATAAGATATTATTTTTAAA